ATATATATATTGGCAACAGAAATAATTTAAAACTAGCTTTCATTCTAATATTACAATTCAATATTACAATCTTTTTAAGAAAAGAAATTCAAAATAGTTTTGTGTCATCATTTCTAATTGGGAAAKGATAAATAACGAATATATTCAGTGTAAAAAGCTGACTTATTTTACCAGCAAAGGTTGTGAGAGGTCGTGAGAGTCACTTTTGATCGAAAGAACTACCAAATATAAGCACAATTTTTCTGGTTATCGTGTTTTTCCTACGATTATACCTCGATCACAGTTTCGCTCGTAAACTTTAGTCTAAAAAATTTGCACTCTAGTACATAGTTTGGCTGTGCGTTAGTGGTTTTTATAAATATAGATTTATATCGCTTTGTGTATACACTAGGAGTTTGATGGCATTAATTCAGTAAAAAACAGTTTTGAAATAATTGGCTATTTGATATACACAAGTGTGGTGAGCAGAAAAATGCTTGATATCAGTTTCGGTTAATTTATGAAAACTATATAACAAATATATGTTTTTAGCACCTTTGCTCCGAAGTGACATCAAATGAAAAACCTTCTCTCACTAGTTAACTCATCGAATATATTTAATAATATTTCAAAATGAAAGTGTTTCATTATTTCAGTGTTGCTTTTTTTGTACTGAGAAATTAAGTTGCTGTTTTTGTGGTTGTCGTCGAGTCCTTGTCGTTGTTATTGTTATTCTTCTTCTTCCTCTTCTTAGTTCTTTATCTTCTTTATCGTCGTTTCTCTTTTACATTTCATCGATGTCTTATCTTTTTATGAGAGAAGAGCAGATGTTTCCAAGAAAATTTCAAGTCCTCTTTCTCTCTTTTTTACATATTCTATATTTAATCTTAAGTGTTTAAAAATTCTGTACTGAGCTGACTTATATCCATATATTTATTATTCATCCCTAAGGCGAGTGATAGATATTTTTTGCTTCCTAGTAGTCTTGGTGTTTGTCTGGGTTTGACGCTCTTCACTAATGAAGGACACACGTATCGCTCTTTTCTAATTTATTTTATTTTACTTTATTTTCATTCTAATATTCTTATTTATTTTTTGTCGTCACTTCATCAAGTAATGCAGTTTCTGCCCTGCTAACAAGCGTGAAAAGGTTCGGCAGATGAAATYCAAAAAGACAAAAGAAAGAAAACGAACAAAAAACAGTAATCTATCAAAAGTAATGTCAAGGTTTGATATAGTGAGCTGTGTTTTCACCTGTTCCAGGGTTTACAAAGAGCTATACTTTCCATTAAAAGGTTCAATAGGAAACTTTAAAATAGCTACACAACTAATTAAACTCTAGACCATTTTGTAGCCAAAGATGTTCAAACATACTAATGTCTGGAATTGAAAATACCAACTGCGCATGCGTAGTCTCAGCCAATCAAAATCGAAAACCGGTTGGATGTTTAATTTACGATATATACACTAGTACGCTTTTATTTTTCTTAATCTATCTTTCTTTCTGTTTCCTAGAAACTTCAATATTATCCATCAGAGGTAAGGGTTTCGTTAGCTTAATAATTGCTTTTATATTTTTTCCTAAGACTTCAGAACCACATTGATCCTGCTTCAATTTGAAAATCGTAAAGTCCTTCAACSTCGTTCGGTGGAGAAGGCAAGTCTATCAGTCTATTAATTCATAACCTTGGCTCTTCATTCATTGACATTTTGAAAAAACCAACTCAATAAGCTCTGGAATCATTGGTTATTATACCTGAAGTATCCGGCGAATTGCCTCGTAAAACTCAAGTCCAATTTTGATGTTAGAGTYCTAGTGATTTCAAGAGATAATTTTCAACTTCTCAAGCAACTACTTTGGACGTAATGATTTCTTCAGTAAGACTTTGCTTTTGCCGCATCCATGTCAGTTTATATCAGTATCATCTCGAGTGTTTTTTCTGAAGACAAAGAAACAATATAGGACTGACTGGACTTAAGAAATGACAGCAAATTCGTTTTTTGACCATCGCGTAGATTCCGTTTGAAGCTTCAAGAAGTAAAATTCATTATGTTAGAACTAGATTTTAAAATGCGCACGTACTTCTAGACTGTACGTACTGTGAAATCTTGTGTGATTGTCATTCATGTAAATATCGATAACCTTCATGGCCACACACCGCAGGAGACCGTTCAGCAGAGCACAAGACAAATATTAAAGTAATAAAGTTAGAAGTTTATGAATTTCGAAACTGGGATAAAGATAATTCAGTTGATATAGGTTTTTTATGAAACGAAACTCCGGAAATTTGGAAAAAAATGACAATACTAAATGATTATCAGCGTCCTAAACCTGCTTTAATTATGCTGGTTGCTTGGGGTATTTTGCTTKTGACGATCGATCCAGCCGCCGTTATATTAAGCTTAGTAGAGTTAGTACCGTTTGTCTTCACTTATTAACAGCTGCTGGTTTCAAAACGGAATGAATGATCTTAATTTGAAATAGAACAGTGCTAAAACGAACTTGTTTACCCATTTCATTCGATTGACAATCATTTTCGACCCAAACAGCTTGTAGCTAATGTGGCCGTTACTGCATGGTCATCATTCAGACACCGATATTTTGGTAATTTCTCCACATCGAGAGTCGGCAATTTTTCGAGATTTTTTTTTACTGGTTATTGAAGAGCGCAGTGCAAAAAGTAACTCATTTATATGTAATAGTARTGATAAAAGGGTAAATTTTACACCGTGAAAAGATGAAAAAATGAAAAAACTTACGACGTTTAGGACGCTAATCCTTCGTCGGAGTAAAAGAAAGACTAGCAAAGGACTAGCGTCCGAAACGTCAGTAAGTCTTTTCATTTTTTCATCTTTTCACGAGGTAAAATTTACCTTTTTATCATTACTGTTTCATTAGAAACACCGACGCAGCTCACACTAGTTTTCAGCTAGTTATCTCTTCATTTATTTGTAGTTCTTCAGATTTCAAGTTTATATAATACACTCAAACAATCTTCTATTGAGTGAAGATAAGCTTGGACATATTGTAAGCGTCGGCTGTGAACTACCCAACATCGGGATTGAGTTTTCATCCCACACGTTCATTCCACATACAGCTTCCGCTGTGAATCATCCAGAAACACAAGAATACCCATCACATCTTGTTGTACGATTCAGGTCCTAACACGAGAATTCGTGCATTTGAACGTTATGAAAGTCTTGCTGATTTGTTTGGTTCATATCCTACGGGGATAGGACATCGATTGGGATAAATTGGAAGACATTAAACGCCGCTCGCTCGCCTTTAACGTCATAATTTTGATTTTCTTACTGTGAATGGGAAACACACGCAGTGGAGCTAGTGAGCCCAAAGCGGTAAAACATCTTAGTTTATTGAGGATAAAATCACTTATTCACTTAATAATGAAAATGGATGAACAACTAGATAAGGACAAAGAAAAATAAGTCAAAAATTGAAAACAGCGTTGGTACGTGTATAATAAGCACTAAAATAAAGCAGGTCTCGTATAAATGGCATACRAACGAAACGCAAATTTCAATTTCAAAACTAGCGTCGTGTTGTATAGTGCGCGCGCGCATTTCTTGGTTCGATTGGTTTACACCGGAAGCCAATTCAAAATCTTTCCTACTGTGATTGGCTAATGTGAATATCCATGATTTCTGATTGGTTTAGAGCGAAAGCCAGTTGAGAGCCACCATGCTTTACGTTTTTCCACTCACATGACATAAGAATATTGTTCTAGGAAGAGGAGATTATTGCGAATTGTGTTGTGTCTTACTCATAGAAGACTATTTATTTTGGGCTTAACGTTATTTAAATAATTAATAATTCACTTGAGCAAAACCGGAGGCGTTGTCCATCACAGTTTTACGATAAATAATACATCAGTTTTAATCAATTCTGAACGGACGTAATCTCAAAATCACTCAAACGAAAATTGCCTGTCAGTTGCGCAGAATATCGACCAGAAACCTTTGAATCAGTTAGCGAMTTTGTCACTATTCACTGAACAAGAGCGGAATTAGGTATTGCACACCATTTCTCTAAACAAACATGAAAGATATTGGACTAGTACTAAGGGTGTATTTTTAGTATCAACGATGACGTCACCGGCCTCGATTGACGTCATCACAGACAAACCGAGTTTTAATGACAACTGATGTTCACCTACCATCTCTTTCTAGAATAGTTCGAAAATGAATGTCAATATGGAGAAGAGAATTTGACAAACRTCACATTTACTGTTGAACAATACCTACGTATTCATATAAAGAGGAAGACTTAGCATTATTTTATATCCCATTTATCGATTTGGCTAAATGGCACATGAAGCTGAGCTGGGATAGGAACGATCGACTAGTTTGGACGGTAAGAAACGTTGAACAAAACCCCGCATCAGGTTTAGTACTACAGAAACTAGTTCTTGTATAGGTATATAAAAAATGTAAGCGCGTTTTCATCTCAATCACTTCCGCTATTTTATTTATTTTACCTRTGAGGAAGGTTTTATTTTCTTTCAATTTAACCCTTTTTTAATTATTTTAGCGAAAATAGGCTCCAACCAGCAAAGCTTCGATTAATCAAGACCAGCCGTTCGTAAATGCGTTTCGGAATAGGCTATAAGTGAAGTCAGCTGTACGGTCTTATATTCCATTTCCTTGAATTTAATTCATTCTTCGTCTTTCTCTGATTCCTTCTGAATTCGGCTTTTCACCGCCTCTCTTAGCAACCAAGAAAGACTAAATTAAAGATTGTGAATTCTTGGTACTGAAAGAAACCACTCCTATGATATTTTTTATTTATGTTGAATATGAATTTCATTTGTTTGGTATTTAATATAACTCTTCGCTCGGCTAAAAGCTTTCATAAATAAGCTTTGGACGTTTTATTTATGTGTTGCGCYGTAAASATACATAWTCTCACAATAGATTTTYTTCTGTATCTTRACAGGTAAAGAWAAGAGAGTGAAATACAGTTGAAGRRAACAGRAAAAAARACSTTAATTTAAGTACACCAATACCCCKAAGCCATTGTTAAATCAAGTYTGCATTAAAAGAGTTTAAACTTYAAAAGCATCGTACTTTCCGTTGAACATAGACAGATCTCCTAGCGGACACACCTCGATAATGAATATCACCGTCAAACATCCAACTCAGATATTGATGGAAAGACAGTTTATCTCACGGTCAGTCGTGGAGGTAGCCTTGGAGTCATCAATACTCATTCTTATCAACATCKTAGCCCTGGTTGGTAATATACTAGTAGTCTTGGCGTTCGTCAAGAATCCCGCTCTGCGCAACGTCACCAATACCCTTATCATCGCACTTTCATTATCAGACATTGTGATGGCGATCTTTCCTATGCCGTTATCAGTGGGCGCACTAATATATGGAGAGTGGGTATACGGTGATATTATGTGTGCGATACAGGGAGTAATGGTCTTCTTCCTAGCATTCGTGTCACTACAGATCATGGCTTTAACAGCGGTAAACCGTTATTACAAGATCATAAAGCCCTTAAGATGTGAAAAGATCTTCAAGCGCTGGTCAACCATATGTATGATCGTCTGCGCATGTGTAATATCTATCGCATTAGTGRCCTCAATGCATTTTACAAGTCCCACATGGGAGTTTGGTTTTCATCGTGGCAAAATAATATGTGTCCAGCTCGGAGATTCTGATCTTTATCAGCTTATCTACACCATGCTTGCCAGCGTTTTCTTCGTCGTCCTTCCAGCTATCTTAATAATAGTTTGTTACTACAAAGTCTTTCGTAAGCTTCGCCAACACACAAAACAGATTCGCATGAGAATCAAGAGTTCAACAGGACAACCCGATGCTGCTCTTCGGCAAGAGTCGGCACTTAGTCGTTCAAAAATCGCCATCACTCGTACACTCTTCGGTACTGTACTCGGATTTTTCATCTGTTGGATTCCATGTTTCTTGATTGATATGCTAGACGTAATGCAAGAGAATTGGTTTGACCGTCGTGTATATCTTGTTTACATGTATCTAGCGTACACATCTAGTGCAATCAACCCTTTGATTTATGGCATTCTAAACCCTTCATTCAGGAGAGAATTCTTCAATATGGTCACCTGTGAAAACGTTCCGCAGTAAAAACAATGACTTTTTAGATGGTTTGCAATCATTTGCGTGAAAAGTTCCGCCACAAGAAAGCGGCCGCCATCTTTGAATTTTACTCAACCAACATGGCGGCCGTGACGTCACATAAAAACCAAGGAAACTGCAATACTGTAACTAACCAAACGTTCTGCGTCGGGAATGACCACCCTTTCTAGCACCAGGAAAAAAAAAAAAAAAAGCAAATAACGGTGATAAATGAAACAAAGATGTGTTGAAGGGGCCAAGACTGACAAAAACCAAGGAAGAAATACTAATAAAAAGCTTAAAATCCGTAGTTAAAAAGATAAAAAATAATAAAGTTAAATCCTGGTACGATAAAATCAAACTTAACAAGAATATGGCATCGGTAAATAAAATATTTTAAATTTAGATGAAATTGTCATTGCTTTAATTGATTTTTAAAAGGATATTTTTCATTATGAAGGATTATTTAGTCGTACTCATTTGAATCGTCTGTTCATGTGATCAAGTTCTGTGTCAGAACGCCCGCTGCAAATACCTGCTCTTTGCCAAAGTCAGTATCTATGTATGATTAGCTTAGAACTGCATGCAATTTATCCACGAAATGGGAAGTTCTGTAGTTTGTAAGTATGACAGTACTTGAATTTTCAAAATTCTTGAGGCTTGTTATAGTTTAACTTTTCACTCAAGSTCTCGTGAACGACGCTCAAAATTTCTTTGTCATGACAATGAAGGTATCCTCTGTCGATAAGACGTTACCTCAGTCGTACCATATATAGTCGATCGCGCGCTATGCAGTTTATTTATAAGTGTTACTGATTCAAGCACAAAATGCCATACTTTCTTATATTTYGTATTGATTTTTTTGTTTGTATTTTTTATCTTGTATGTTTAATTTTCGTTACCAATGAAAATGATAATGGCCCACTTAACCACCTGTATAGTATGTAACTACTATTATAAACACTCGTGAAGCTAGACGAGCAAGTACTAATCGATCTTCATGAACTGAGATCTTCACGTGTACAGAGTGAAAAATGGAAAAGGAATCTTGGATCCCAAAGCGATACATCCTCTCAGGTTTGATCTTTCTAGGTTTCTTTAACATGTATGCATTGAGAGTCAACTTAAATGTGGCGATCGGAGCGATGGCTAAGAATCACACGATTTTGCTCAACGGACATGAGGTKGAAGAGGTACGTAAGGTCACTTTAGATTAAGCAGGTTTAGACAGGTGGTTTGTTTAAGTTAAACCCCCGTAACGAAAAATCAAACCCGTGAAATATTTGCCATCATATTTTAGGCATATCTTTCACTCTGTAATATACTAATACTCTCAAGATGAAACCGTTAAATTTTTTAGAACCAATGGAAATAATTTTGAATAAACACGCGTAAGATTGTAATTCAATCGCAAGAAGTCAGTAAAAGTAATATCAGTCTTTTTGTTGTTTTTTTTTTGTTTTGATTTCCTGCTAAAATAAATCCAAATAGATACCGTGCGGTTTATTTTCGATTTTTTCGTCACTGGCTCCTTTTTTTGTTTTAGAAAACTGTTTTAATTGATTTATGACATTAATACGGACTGTTCAATTTACCACAGTTTTTTTTCTGGAGCAATATTATGCTAGTGAATCATTTTCCCTAATCCCAGTTAGACTAAGGTCAACTGAACAAAAAATAACATATGATTATCCTTGAAAAACTTTGTGAAAAAATGTACAAATTTGCRCAAATTAGTAAGTTCAGTAGACCTCAGTAGACCGTAGACCTTAGACCGTAAACTTTGCACTAATTTGTAGAATTTTGTTAGTTAACTTTTTCATGGATGTATGGTATATACTCTACCACGCATTGACAAAAATTKTATTCACTAAAAAGAGATGAAAATGCCAATTCGTTCTCGTTTTGATCTAAATACGACGGCTTYTTTATCTTCGGTTGGTTGTGGAAGGCCCATGGAATGTTCGACTAATAAACTAAATACTTTAAATATTGTGGGGRAAAAACTGGAGAAAAAGACTTATGTGGATACGACGGGATTCGAACCCACATCCGCCGAGTCAATATGCAAAATAAACCTGCACCTACCACTGTGTGCCATACCCCCGAGACATCCGCAGAGCTGAGGCGGCGTATGGACTTCGGACCTGACGGCGATTAAATCCTTCTGCCCTTGGGTGTACGAATTACGCAAGAAAATGTTCTAGCCGAAGYATCAGGGGAGAGACCAGCCGGCCCCCAGACCATATCGGCTAATCCCTTGCATCTCTGCCACGCACTAGGTGCATTGTTTTGAAGTTGAAAAATAAACCTAGTCTATATGGTGCATTGTTTTCATGGCTATTGTTGTGCAAATTCTGTAAAACCGTGGTCCAGTGGRAAAAACCTGGACTTTCGTGACATTGAGTCATGCCCGGCCTTCGGGGTGAAGACCTGGATGGGTGACCACTGCGGTAAGATATACAAGATTTTCCATTCGCAAGATTGTATTTTTAAAATACTTTTTTTTTTCAAGGAAGCTGAATTTAAATGGAGTTCGAGATTACAAGGTATTTCATTTCTTTATTTTYATAATTTTTGTAAAAAGTCTGATTTCTTTGGTATCTTCATTTTAGCCTTGCATCCACGATACTTTTGAGAAGKGTCCATTAGATTTTTAGAACATGAGTAGAATCATAAGATTTTATATAAAAACTACAGTTGTTTTTAACACTTCACAGGTGTCGTGCTTGGCTCTTTCTACTATGGTTACATCGCACTCCAAATAGTAGGAGGAGGTCTGGCGATCAAGCTGGGAGCGACTCGTCTTTACGGCCTGTCGTTATTCACGGCATCTTTCCTCACCTTGCTCACGCCCATGGTAACGAGATGTAGTGTTTATCTGTTGGTAGTGATACGAATAATAGAAGGACTTGTCTTGGTAAGATTGATAAAGAAGATTACTGCTACCATCCATCCATCCATCCATCCATCCA